AATAAGAACTTTGTTGAAATACATGTCTTTGTACCACCTGAAATCTCCTAAGGTAGGGCATTTCAGATTCATGAGTGTCTCGGCGGATCTCTCCTGATATTTCAGAGGGTCGCCAACGAATAATTCTATGAGGTATAAATGAGGGTGTTGACAGCATCCTCTATCTTTTCATGTTGTACTTCGGTCCTAGTTGATGGACCTTCTTCTTTGATGACTTGAGTAGTTGGCCTAACGACATAGTGGTTTAATATCTGTTGGAAAGTTGCTTCGTCGAGATATTGTCTCACTAGTCTTTGAGTTGCCTGGTAAATCTGGTTACTAAAACTTGAGCTATCTGATGGTCGGATTTATGGCCCTGTAATTTATACGCGCCTGCAGCCATCATCATTTCATTGACAACATTCATTATAAGATAGTCAGACAATCCATCAATATTCCATTCATAGATTGCTAGACCATCGTAATGAGCTTGAGTTTGTAGTGTCTTTTCTTCGAACTGGATATCCGAAAAAGATGGTTAAGGATACCAGTGTTTCTGATTACTGGTATTATTTTGACTCCTAGAGATTCTTTCAAGTCGATTGTAGAAAGGTTCTTCTACCTCATTTGCAATCTCGTCTTCGGATTCTTGGTTCTCGCCGTCATTGTGAACGACATTGACAGATGAATCTTGAGGCGTCATGGCGGGATTTAGTATCTTGTCAAATTTTTCCTCTATCATGGCCATTGCAGCCTCTTCTTTTGAAATCCTTTTTGTAAATATTTTGAGATTTGCCCGTCTTAGTATTGGTATTGACTCATCAACCTTTGGTACAGAGTTGCTTGCCTGTTCCTACTGAGTACCTGATTTCTTTGAGGTTTTTCCCTCGATACTCTCAAGTTGAGTAGCGATCGTGGATAAAATCTTATTTGAGTAATTGTTTTGATGCTGGATATTTTTGATATCCTTTAGGGTCGGATTACTCTTTTCTAGTCATTTTGGAATATTTTTGAAAGGACTAGCTTTGACTTTTTCTCCGTAGTAGTTGTCGAATTCAACTTCTTCCAACGGAGGATGTTTCGAATATACCTCGCCTCTTTTGGTAGTCTTCCAACTCCTTTAAGTCAAGGTGCATGCCTGCAAAATATTCTCTTCAAACCATTCAAAGAATGGTATATTTTCTTCGATGGCTTCCATATGAGAATACCACTGAGCTCTTAATTCATTTCGCTCAGCCTCTTTGTAGGTTTGGAAGAAGACATTTCTTTTTTAAGAGTTGGTGGTTGATATAAAATCTGCTTTTAAGAATTCTTTGTCTATCTGGAAATCAGCTGTAATGACATTTAGCTGACTTTCATAGACGGATTGAGTATCCATATCTGTATGGGTTGGAGATCTTGAGCCATCTTCATAGTGGATTGATGCCTTTTTTTTTATCATAACTGACCTCCTTTACCTTTAAGGGGTCATACATTGATCTTGAAACTCCCGACGTACTTGGTCTAGAACTCAAGACTTCCTTTACTTTTGACTCTGACGAAGGTTCTTCGCTGAATTTTATCTCAACGCTTCCATCGTCAGGTTCGATGATTTGACTGGATTTTGAGATTCCTTTCTCCTCGGGAGATTAGCATCTTCTATTTTCCAAAGAGTATTTCTGGTTATTTGATCCCAAGAAAGAGTTTTTGGAACAGTCACTGAAGACTTTCCAATATTTACCTCTATGAGCATGGTTGATCCTTTTGGTGAGGATCTTAATGCTCTTGGAGAAATATTTGTATTCATGAGTTTGTAATAAACCCTGAATATGACGACTGAAGAATGAGTTTCAGCCTTGATGTTTAAATTTTTTTATTGTAAATTCAGCATGAGGGCTGATAATATGTGTGGGTCGTGGAGCGACAAAGTAAAATTTGGATAACAATTGAAATAGACTGGTCCATTCTCTAGATTGGATTGAACCATCCCTAATAAAGAATTTGAGAAATCTTCATGTCTCTTATCTCGTAAGGAGATAAGGATTGGGATATCTAACCCAAGCCCGAACAATGGTTTTACAGCGACTTGGACAAGACCGACGTGAAGATAATTAAACTCTTCACGGTGTTGGAGTATAAGAGATTTTGAAAAAAGATTCAGAGACTCCCTATTGCTGTGAATTGGGATATTTTCCTCTGAGAATTTGATGCATGATCTTTGAGCAAAATTGAAGGTTGAAATTTGGTAGATAGTTTTAGGATCTACCTTTGGAATAGTCAAATTTTGGAGTTGATCTTTGATTCTGGCAATCTGATATTCTTGATTGACAGTATTTGAGATGGTGAGATTTTCTCCCCTTCTATGCTCATTTGAACTTTCTTCTTCTTCAGTAGAACATTTGGAATGATTTGATTTTCTGAGTTTTCTCAGAAATTCGTTCATAAGATGAAGATATGTAAGACAAGAGATAGAATAGAACAATTTTTTCTCTGAATTTTTCAATTGATATTCAAGAGAGAGCTATCGGCCGATCGATGCTCTCCTTACATTGATGAAGTCCTCTTATAGACTTCGAATTTGAACGTAAATTTGAAAAATGCCAACTAAGAGATAAGATCGAATCTAGCAGGACAGGACCCCTGCAAGATCTGTTTTCCTAAAAGTAAGAAAAGACATAAGGTAAGCTAATAATTTAAAGGACTAATATTTTACAACACTGATAATTCACATGTGAGCCTTCACTGTGTGGCTGACAAGTTGTCAATCTTTGTTTTGTCTCTGATAAATTTGTAGGTGATGACTTGAGTCCTTTTGATGTAGGTGATGATTTTTCTGATTCGAGGACGAATCCTTTTGAAGAGGGGGAAGATGATAAGAATCACGGTGTTCCAAATGGACCTATTACACGATCCAAGGCGAAGAAGATTCAACAAACATTCATTCTTCATCTACAAAATTGACAAAATTTGATCGGCTTGGTTCAACCATCATTTGTAGAATTAGAAGCTGATACGCGATTGACGAAGGATAATTGAATATTTGCACGGTTGAAGTTGGAAAACTTTAAAATGTCAAAAACAGGGTTTGAACCTACACAAGTGAAACCTAATAGATTTCAAGTTTATTTCTTTAGCGCTCAAACATATCAACATTTGTGAAAGGATTTTATTGTTTTTTTGTTTTCATTTTGCAATGGTCAAATGGTCAAAATTGACTTCATTTTTTGTGGAGATTAAGGGGGATCGGGATTGAATCCCGGCCACAAACGTCTTTTGTCGGGAGACTATAAATACCCACAATACGTTATGTAAAAATCAGATTCGTGGATGTATGTAATTCAGATCTCAAATTGAGACGTTTCCCTTATAAATCTGAGCATCATATTTGTCATTTTTAAGTTTCAAGCAATTCTTGTGGTAGAATTGCACCCAAGCCATTCGATCAAGCCTTGATCATGTTAGATCGTGGAGTGACTCAATTTAGAACAAGGTTAATCTTGCTTCTAAATCTTCGATCGTAAGAGATAATCTAATTCTAGCCTTATTCTTGGTTGATCCAAATTTCGTATAAGGAGGTGTTAATTACTTTGTTTCAAGGGTTCTTGCTAAAACAAAAGCTTGGATCGTTGGGTTGAGGATTAGGATTGCCTTATCAGAAGAGATCCGTTGTTGGATTCATATCACTTTCTTCCCTTGACTTTTATAACATATTGTAATTTTAGCTCAATCAAACGGTTGGATTTTGAAATTCAATAGATTTTTTGAAGCTGGCTAAATCTTACCGTAGATTTTTTATGGTAGGAGCAAGTTTTGATAAGCGCCTACAATGCTGGAATTTGCAAAGCTCTGGTCCTTCTAGAATCCTTGCAAACATTCACAGAGAAAGCTAACTTAACGGATTGATTCCAACCAAGAGCTGGCTAGAAGATGAATGACTCTTAGATCGAACTTGTAATCTATGATGGTCACTCTTAGTTACCAAGACGACTCACTCCAGAATTAGTTTGATCATGGTTAATCCAATGAATCGATTTTTAACATCAAACCTAAATTAAGGTTTGAAAGAAACATACCACCCAAAAGGTTTCAACCACAAGGTTTTTGTATTTCACCATATTTTAAAATTGAATATTACATGCCTTTAAATAGCCCTCGAGATAACCTTACCATAATAAAGTTCAACCACCAACTATAAATTACTAATAAATGCTATTTAATACAAATCGAATAAAATAAGGCATTCATAAATTGTCTTAATTTGTAATTCAACCACCGAAGGCAAGTCTTCTAATCACTTTCCAATGTCAGCCACTCCATTATTTTCTTGATTTGATACTTGAATCTTCTTTGTATTGCTTCTTGTAATTGCTCGTTCGAGTACATGTAAGTGATCAGTCGTTGGATTCATATCAAGTTTGATTTGAAATAACTTGAACTTCAAGGGTAATATGGTAATTTGTCATCTTTTATTATTTATTATTTTTTTATGAAAAATCTTTTTCTAAAAACTCTTTACTCCTTGCTCATAAGTAATTTATTTTCCTAACCTTCACAAATATTTTGGTGGTTTTAGAATAATAATAAAATAAAAAAAAAAAAAAGAGTTATTGTGAAGAAACAAAAGGAAAATACATAATAGAAAACCAAGATTCCATTTAGACTCAAAATAGGTAATTTTCCGTTCTTCAAATTTTTACTAAGAAATTCTTTTTCATAGTTGATTAAATTAAAAGATTTTAATTTTGGTGAATCATAATTTAGAGTAATTTAGAGTTATGGTGTTTATTTTAATGTATTTTAAGGCTTGTTTACATAGCAGATAATTATAGCTATTAAGTATACATCGCGTTAATTATGGTCATGAATGTAGTTACAACTCTTAGAATGCCTCAATGTTAATGGTTTTTATTTTGATGCTATATAAAGTCATGTACTTTGTAAGACAAACTTAGAAAATGTAGTAAAAGAAGTATTTGTACTTTTCTTTAGCCAATGACTAAGTTTCTTTGCAATTCTATGTAGCTTAGGTTTTCAAGCTCGACATGATCAATCTTTCTTGTGAAGTGATTAGAATCTCAAACAAGTATTCTTGCCTTGAGATATTTGATCAACAAGGTGATTTGAATCTTACTTCCCTTATAGTGTTTCCATATCGTTTGGTATTAGAGTTTTCCCTTGGGCTGATTCCATATCATAAGTGCTCTAAGCTATATCAGAAGATTTTTGTTAGGCTAGAAACTCTAATCTGAATCAAGAAATTAAAAATTGTGTGATTTATAGGTTTTAATCCTTATACTAGCATGAGCCAGAGAACTATGAAAAGATTAGGGTTCCGGAACTATTATGATTTTAAAATTATCCATAAGGATGTTTCTAGTGAATCAAACACACATGGATCATTTGTTATGATTAAAGAATTTAACTTTAGTGCTCCCAAAGCTAGTCTAAAAAGTCGTGGAAATAGGAAGTTAAGCATAATGTATCAAAATGCCTTTAAGTTTTTTGTTTACCAGGATATCGTTTAAAAAAACTTGAGAACATAATCATAGGAGGCTAATTTGTTATCGTGAACATAATGACAAGATGAAACATTTCTCCTCACGTATCTCCTCATCATGATTGTTTGTCTTCTATCTTTTCCTTTATTATTTTCACTTTTCCCATTTGTATTATTATTTTCACCTTTTATTACTATTTTCACTTTTCCCATTTTCATCACATTATTGATGATTATGGATTTCCACACTCGTCAAATTATTGATGAGTATGGATTTTCACTTTCATCTAATTATTGATGAGTATGGATTTGTATGTACATTAAGAACTTGTTTTGTAAATTAAGCTAGGATGATAAAGCTCATGTAAATTGCAAGGGCTCAAGTCAGTAAGCGTAGGAATGGTATCAGAGCCTCTAAAATTTTGTGAGAGAAGAGGAGTTACTCGATCTTTAAGAGCGATGTTGCAGAAACCAGGAGGATGATAAGAAAAATTCAAAAGAATTTGGAGTATGTGATAGCTGAGCGAATAACCCTTGTGTTCCAGGTGGTAAAACGCGGGAAACGCAGTAAGTCCGTTGGCAAGCTTGGGTGCTTAGTCATATGAAAAATTCTGAAGAAAATCTTATCTACATCCTGGTCAGCAACATTGAAAGTAGAAAGTCAAGCTTATCATCTTCAAAAGGATTCGTCCTCGAATTAGAAAAATCCTCACCTACATCAAAAGGACTCAAGTCAGCAACATTGAAAGAAGAATGTACTGAAAAGTCTAATCATCTTCCCCCTCTTCAAAAGGATTCGTCCTCGAATAACAAAAAATCATCACCTACATCAAAAGGACTCAAGTCATATCATCTTCCCCCTCTTCAAAAGGATTCGTCCTCGAATCAGAAAAATCATCACCTACATCAAAAGGATTCAAGTCAACAACATTGAAAGTAGAATGTACTGAAAAGTCTCCGGGAAGATCAATTTTATATGCATTGTTATTAATTCTTTCAAGGACTTGATAAGGGTCATCCCCTCTTGGATGTAACTTTGTCTTCCATTGAGTTGTACTATGAATTGCTCTATTATATGCAAACTCTACAAATGACAAACATTCATCCCAAGACTTAATATTCTTAAAAATAATAGTTAGTCTTAAGCAATGCTCCTAATGTTCTATTAACCACCTCAGTTTGTCCATCCAAGATGACATGTAGTTGAAAACAACAATTTGTGTTGAGTTATGGAGTCTGCTCCCTGTATTTATAGCTTGGTCAACAGCTATATCCGGTAAACCTATATTTGGTAAAGCTATATATGGTAAAGCTATATCCGGTAAAGCTATATATGGTAAATAGCTATATATAGTAGATGGTTAAATCTGGTAAAGCTATATTTAGTAGACTGAACCATATATATATATCCCGTCCAGTAAAGTTTTGGAGATGTACTTTCTATTCTCTATACTCTCTCTTGTTGTACATACCTGAAATCATCAATAAAAAAATCCTTTTAGCCAGAGTTCTCCTTGCAATTTTCTCTATCCTTTTCTTTGTGTTCATCTAGATCGAGCGTGTGAGTTGTTGTGCGATCCTAACAACTGGTATCAGAGCTAACGACTGATATCGATCCTAACAACTGGTATCAGAGCAAGGCAAAATTCACCACGATCTGTGAAGATGGAAAGTTCAAAGATTGGAATTGAGAAGTTCGATGGATCCGATTTCGGTTTCTGGAAGATGCAGATTGAAGATTATCTGTACTAGAAAGATCTTCACGAACCTCTGTTGGGGGTGAAGCCGGATACCATGACCACGGAACAGTGGAAGCTCAAGGATCGATAAGCCTTAGGGATGATCCGGTTGACGCTATCCAGAAACGTGGCGTTTAACATCATCAAGGAGAAGACAACGTCAGATCTGATGAAGGCGCTGTCAAATATGTACGAAAAACCGTCGGCTATGAACAAGGTGTATTTGATGCATAGATTGTTCAATCTACAGATGTCTGAAGGTGGACGTGTTGCAGATCATATAAATGAATTCAATATGATCATAAGTCAACTGGGTTCGGTGGAAATTAATTTTGAAGATGAAATTAAAGCGTTGATTTTGATGTCATCCTTACCCGAGTCATGGGATACTATTGTTGCCGCAATCAGCAGTTCCCGAGGATCTGATAAACTGAAGTTTGATGAAATTCGAGATGTAGTTCTCAGCGAAAGTATTCGCAAACGGGAAACTGGAGATTCATCAGGCAATGCTCTCAGTGTTGATCGAAGGGGAAGAAGCAAATCAAAGAGCTCAAACAAACATGGGCGTTCAAAATCAAAGAACCGGGGAAAATCTCCAAATAAACCCAACGTAACGTGTTGGAGCTGTGGGGGAAAAGGACACTTTCGGACAGATTGTACAAAACTAAAGAAGAAGCAGAATCATAAATCTGAAGATGATGATGATTCTATATACACAACAGAAGATGCTGAGGACGTTTTAATCCTTAGTGTGGATAGCCTAGTTGAATCCTGGATTTTGGATTCAGGTGCATCGTTCCATTCGTCTCCAAGTAAGGAATTGTTTCAAAATTTCAAATCAGAAAATTTCGGGAAGGTGTATCTTGCCGACAACAAAACCTTGGAGATTGAAGGAAAGGGAGATGTCTCCATACAAACTCCAGCAGGAAATCTATGGACATTACAAGATGTCAGATACATTCCTGGTCTCAAGAAGAACCTGATCTCTATTGGTCAGTTGGATAGCACAGGCTATGCAGCAGAGTTTGTAAAAAGTTCCTGGAAGATTGTGAAGGGCGCCATGGTTGTTGCGCGTGGCACAAAATCCGGAACCTCATGCACTACTACAGAGTGTATAAACATGACTGCTGCTACTGAGAGTGCTTCCAATTCAAGTCTATGGCACAATAGACTTGGACATATGAGCGTCAAAGGCATGAAGATGCTGACTGCGAAAGGAGCTTTAAAAGGCTTAAAATATGTTGATATGGGTCTTTGTGAGAGCTGCGTTATGGGCAAACAGAAACGAGTTAGTTTCACAAAGGTTGCCAGAGAACCGAAGAAAGTGCGGTTGGAAATGGTCCATACAGACGTCTGGGGACCATCTCCAGTTTCATCACTTGGTGGATCAAGGTACTACGTCACCTTCATCGATGACTTCAGCAGGAAGGTATGAGTTTACTTTCTGAAACACAAGTCAGATGTGTTTACCACCTTCAAAAAGTGGAAAGCTGAAGTTGAAAATCAGACTGGCTTGAAGATCAAATGCCTAAGGTCTGACAATGGACGAGAGTACAACAAATCTAAGTTTATAACATTTTGTGCAGCTGAGGAAATTAGATTAATAAGAACAATTCCCGGTAAGGCAAGACAAAATTGTATTGCAGAAAGGATGAACAGAACATTGAATGAGCGAGCAAGAAGCATGAGGATTCATTCTGGATTGCCAAAGACATTCTGGGCTGATGCTGTGAACACAGCAGCATATTTGATTAATAGAGGGCCGTCAATATCCTTGAAGTTCAAATTGCCCGAAGAAGTATGGACAGGAAAAGAACTGTAACGACCCAAAATTTTCCACTTAATTTAAGGTCGCTACTGTATACATACCATAAACATTGAATGCGGAAGACTTCATTTTAATTCCATAAAACATAACTTTTAACTTAAAAACACAGCCATGGACTTACGTGTTTCGAAAACATCTTTAAAACGACACAACAAAAGACCCGAAATAAAATAAATAAGCGTTTAAGTTAAAAACATCCTATTCTATCCTAAGTCTAGGAAAATAAATACCACTAGCCTTTGCATGTGCCATGATCTTGAGTTGCGATGCCGTCGTCAGCCGTACAGGAATGCCTTGCCTTAACCTGAAAAATGTAGTAGCACATGGCCTGAGTATTTAAAGAAATACTCAGTAAGTGACCCCACTATTGGGGTTAAATGCAACAATCACATGCAATGAAATGATGGGACCTATCTTTCATTTCGTTTCGTTTCGTTTCGTTTTCCCTACGGTGTAATCCTAACAGGTAATCGTGGACGTGTACCATATACTCTACATGCAGCCCATACGTGCGAGTATGGGCTCACCAGCTAGTTCGCACACTGCTGGGCCACTGTCCCTAGCCGGTGGGCATGCTCTGGGGGCCCACCGGGACCCGTTAAAACTAAAACCGTCACGGCAGCGCTATGCAGGGCATAACAATCGTTGTCCTGCCATTTGGATGTACGCGTCCGTACCCTCGTGATGGGATAGGGGTATCCCCCCAAATGCATGATCACACAATATGCATGAGGTCCCACTAGTCCTACAGTCATCATTTAATGAACATAACCCCGTGTCACGTTTTCATGCTTACATGTCATTCTCATTCTCATTTCATTACATATCATACATATTCCTAGCGGGGTTATGTATCATGCAATTTACCGTATTTCATGTCATACAATTCATTCAGTTACATTTCAATACCCATACAACAAGTCATAATCATACAAGGGTCACACATCGTCACATGCATTCATATCACATCAACTAAGCAGCATAAATAACATACATTCACGTTCACATGATTTTGTACTTAAGCACAATAATCTAGCATACAATGGATCATATCATAACAAAGTCATAACGTAAACACTTCATAGTCATA